ACCTTCACAGCAATCGGAAGAGGTCATAAGGAATGCGTCCGATATCACCAATCTCGTGGGTACAACTTTCGCAACACCGTAGATGATGCGTTAACCCATTTCAGATCATCTCCTCTGAGGACAATCCGCACTTGCCTGCCCTCACATTCCGATTTTGGGTCATTGGAAGTGGATTGGCGACCTTTGGTTTGTGATATGAGAATTCGCGTTACCTTATATTAACCTTGTGCCAGGTTCCGTGCTTTCCGAAATATACTTCTGGAAGCCTCAGAATGCAGCAGTCTCCTCGCTATTCCAGCTGATTTTATCATACGTACTTGGAAATGCTGTGAGGTGGTTTTAGTTCCTTATTCCAACTCGCCCTCATATACTCTCACCGAAGATGCATTATGCGATGCCGTGTAAGGGGTATTGGCGATACCTGAATCCTGGACCATTCAATATTAAGGAGCATACCTGTATTACAATCATGGCCTCCACCGCCTCAGTCACGGCTACGTCCATCGGAATAATTGCTACCCTTGACCTTTTTTATGGTATTACTCTTGATCCCGCTGCCGCCATCTTCCAAACGCTCGCTTCGCAGGTGCGTTGCATTCAAACTAGGCGGACCACCTCTTTGAAGCTAACATGGAGATCCTTCCAGTTGATCGGTTACGGTTTTGCTGGGATCTTACGAAATCTTCTCGTCTGGCCTACCTATGCGCTGTATCCGAGTCAGCTCCCGTCCATTTCCTTGCTGCAGTCGATGCATTTTGGAGGGCTTCTCAATCGCAAAAAAATGAAGTACTTTTGGATAGGTAAGGGAACCTCAAAGTTCAACATGGATGATTACTTAGCTGCTATCACAGTCTTTACTGCAATATTCTGCTGGGTAACCACTTAATGGTTTGCTTTTGACGTATGCTGATTATCTGACAGGAAATTGTTCCGACTTGGATGTTTCCATTGTTAACCGCTTTTTCGGTAATCTGTCTTGCCGACAACGGGAAATCAGCCTTCGTACGCAACCTCTTTGGTGCAGGATCCTCAAACGAAGGCCTCGGTCTTCTCTCGTTCGCCTTCGATTGGACGCTCGTTACACAAGCGTACCCTCTTTACTGGCCACTTCAAACTCAAGTATCCTCTTGGATTGGTTTGCTCTTCGGTTATGCTCTCATGAGTATGTGTTAAGTAATCTCTGCGAAGCCTTGCTAAATGTCGTATATCGAACGGCTCAGTTGGATGCTACTACGGGGATGTCTTCCAAGGTTACTCTAGAGGCCTCCCCTTCATGTCCACTGCGTTGTTCAATGGTAATGGCTCTTCATACGACCAGTCTGCAATCCTCGATGCCAACAATCAGCTTGATCCGCAAAAGTATGCCGAGGTCGGACCCCCGTGAGTGTTGTCTTTCGACCACCCTTAGCTTCATGACCCTGAGTCACCAAACCTACAACTCACACCCAGATACATGACGACAACATATTCAATCTCCCTGCTAGTTAGCTACGCATCTATGGGTGCTGCGTTCTCTCACGTCCTTCTTTGGAATTGGCGCGAGCTCTGGGAGGCTTTGGGAGGCTTCAATTTCCTGAAGTCCGCTCAAGACTTCGATGAGTATGGTCCCTATGTAAACGCTTGGATGAACCTGCTGGCTGACCCATTTGGAAGTATTCACTTTCAGAAGATGAAAGTATACAAAGAGGTCCCCCAGTGGTGGTACTTGGCTTTGTTCGGAATCTCACTTGGCCTGGCGGTAGGCATGGCCTACGTTGATATCAATACATTGCCTTGGTGGTCAGTCATAGTGTTCACTATCATAGGTAAAATATTGGATATGGGTCTTTCACCATGACTGACTGGGAGCAGCTTTCATTCTCTCCGTTGTGCTCGGGCTTATCAACTCGGTAACGGGATTCCAGCTACCTACTGGAGGACTTGTACAGGTTATCGCTGCACGTGGTCACAAATTCTCGTTCTTTTCAACGAGGCTCAAACCTACGTCCAACAGGCATTTATTCACCCGCAACAGCCGATCCAGAACATGTATGCGAAACTGTATGGCTACAGCACGGGATATCAAACTCTTGCAATGATTTCCGACCTCAAATTAGGTAGGGGCCATCAATGGCGCATCGGCGCAGCTGATGCATTGCTGCAGGTCAATACGCCAAAGTTCCTCCCAGAGCTACGTTCACCGCCCAATTTAGCGGTACTGTCCTCGGAGCCAGTACGCACTGATGTTATCGCGATCTTCCTTTATACTCACCTCCTATTAGTTTTCAACTATGTACTTTACAAGTCTATAGTAGACGCTCATAGAGCAGACCTTCAAAACCGTTCGCATCATACATTTCTTCGCTCGTGTCTTCGTGTTAACAATTTTGGCAGCTATCGGGACACGGATTTGGTCCGGCTGGGGCTCCCAGGAAATAAACTCAGCTGCCATTACTTGGGGAGCGCTCTCAGCAGAGTTATACGGCCCAGGAAAGACCTACTTCCAGGTTTGCTGCCCAGTTGACTCGCAGTGATGCATGTCTGACTTTTGATGGAAGATTCCAATGGGACTTTTGTACGGATTCCTCGCTCCCTTCCCCTTCTACTTGATGCATCACCTGTTCCCGAAGTACGGATGACAGTCTGTGGAACCTTTTCACTGTTGACCATAAAAACAGGCAGTGGATCTGGTCATACTTGAACATGCCGATTGTTCTGACATACCTTGGCTGGCTGCCGTACTCTGTTAATGGTGAATGCAACGACCGAGTGTAGCCCGAAAACATGTTTGCTTACTAGGTTCCCGCAGGAATGTGGTGGCCAGGATTCCTCATTGGCCTCTTTACTCAATGGTGGGTGAGGACGAGGCGGCCCAACTGGTACAAGAAATACAACTGTAAGCACTGGCTGCTACGCCATTTCTTCGCCAAGTCTGCTCACTCAGTATCCCTAGACTTGACGTCCGCTGCTCTCGACGGTGGTTCGTCTATAGTTTATTTCGTCCTCAATTTTGCGGTCTTCGGTAGGTGTCTCTTACGTGCGGGGGTTCTTATCTTGTTGATATGAGTCTCCAAAGGTGCAAGTGGAAATGCTGTCAACTTCCCGTTCTGGTGGGGTAACCCAGACCCGAGCGTGATCAGCGTTGGTAAGTGGGATCTTTCAGCGATCGTGACTTGAACTTAATGTCGGTACAGATTACTGCATGCTGAGTGGCTCTTAATGACACGAAACGGCGCTTTGCCAGCGGAGGACCTGGCTTGTATAACACATATCATGAATTATTGAAGTTGCACGCGTTCCGATGGAGGGGGCTTCCCCAACTTGAAAGTCAGACGACCGAATCTATGGAAAATACGTGTACGACAGTTGTATGTATCAGACGGGTCAGTGAGATTCCTAGTACTACCACCCCGACGCCACGAGCGTTCTCAGAAACTGCACACTGCACATATCCAGTGCGAGCATTCCTTACAGCTGGCTGGGACGACGATCGATCGATAGGATAGCTAGGACAGCACGCAAAGTTCGATGAACATGTACAGTGTCCATGATTGTGTACTGGCATATACTTTCTTTGTATTGTAACTTACTGCTAGCAGCTAGAACTAATCTGGTCTGGTCCACAGAGTAAAAGCCCGAGATCTGAGTGCTAGCACTCGTAAAAACATAGCCCTGGATCTAGCTGTGACTTTTGCTCAAGTGAGCCCTCGCGATTTACCGTTTTTTAATTTAGACTTTCTCTAGTGGCAACGGTTGGTGTACGCCGGTTTCACTCGGATACACCCATTTCTCTTAAGAAGTTATATACCCATCTCTCACAAAGCTCAATGTCTTCAACGTACGCTTCACATGGCTCAGTCTCGGGGCGCGTACTCATCGCCAACATTCGGATAGATTCACACCATCCCAGGCCATCGATATGTCCAAAGAAAAGGACTGGCCAATGAATCTAGGCGAGTCTTCACGCTTCTGAGTTAGATTATCGTATCTCATTCAACACGATACAGGCATGATGGATTGGGACCACACAAAGATCGTATTCACCAAGCGTAGTCTGGTGGAGTTCCTCAAGTAAGTAGCTAGGGGTGCTCAAGGACGTACACAGCAAGTTCAGCACTCAGCTAGGTACACTGGTGTTACGGTTGACCCAGGATTCACGAACATCCAAAAGTTGCCCCGTACGCCAATGCTTTCTCATCAACTTATTTAACCCCGACGCGATTCTACCTCAGGATACACGCAGTTCGGGACGATGGCCGTCAATTCCGTCTCTGAGGAGACGACAACTGACGGTGAGTACTATATTCCAACAATTCATCCGCGATAAGTTCCGAGTGGAATTGCTGGCTTCTCAGCCACAACCTCCTCCACATCCGAGGTTCAATCGTCCGCCAGCCCTGCCGTAGAACGACTTCTTGGAGGAGAGTTCACTGATGATGCCTTGTCCGGTGCTCCTCCACCACCCACAAACAACTCTGCTGAGGTGAGATGCTGACATGTTTCTTGCGAAATTGGAGGGCTGAGTAAGTCGACCATGTCCAGACGGGTGGCTTCAGACCCACACGGTTCGTGTCTTTGCCGTTTCACTGATCCATAATGTCTGATATGCAGACCCCTAGCCGCGTCCGTACGACTCCAGGAGGAACAAGCAGCATGGCAAGCCTTTTTTCCGATGACCAGGAACAATTCGTTCCCACGCGCAGGTAAGTTCTACCTTACTGTAAGCGTCACGTTGTCTCACGCTGTCGGTCAGGGTGCGACAGCGTCCTGGAGGACAAGATAACATTGAAGGCGTGAGTGAAAGTCCTGACCTGGGGTTGCGAAAGTTCTAAATGACGATTAGCTTTTCTGATGCAACATGGTGTTGCAAAGAGACCGGGATGGCCTTCTGGTATGATGCTCACCCTGTAGTGGGTTGTTTATAGGAATGTGCCATAGTTCAAGTTATTGTGAACATCAAAGCACTCGCCCCCCCAGTTGATTGGTGTGCACTCGTCCATTCGAAGGCTAAAAACATGGCTTGGTAGCGGCGAGATTCGAACTCGCGCGGACTTGCGCCCATTGGGAATCAAGTATCTTAAATCCAACGCCTTAGACCGACTCGGCCACGCTACCGATCACTGAGGTTGCAGTCATTGACCGCACCTATATAAAAGCAGAGGTTTGGACACTCTCAAGCGTAGTGATCATGGAAGAATTCAGGAAATGCGGAAATGTTTGGTTTGTTTCGGGAGATATGAAGGGTCTTAAGACCTAGTAACGAGATGAGCAAATCATCATGATCTACATTCACGAGGGACATAGCGTTCAACCTGTTTTGCCTGGCCAAGGCAGGTGACAGGCGGCAAGTAGGCGAAGGAACTGCAGCACTGACTGTCAGAGATACGTCTGTGGCCGCCCATCATACAACTCACATATGAACGTTCAGAAGCTTGTCGCAGCCCCTGCTACGAGATATACAAGATGCATTTCAATTTGGAACAAACGTAGAAAAAGGGACCAAATCAACGTGAGTAGTAAAATACAAGGCAGGCAAACGAATAGAGATGAGAGGGTATGAGACGGGTGAGGTCAAGCGTCGAGTGGCAGGATAGGAGAATTCTGCCACACTTGCTGGCCAATGTCAGTCTATCGAATCAAAACTACAACGCCATGGCATAGAATGTAGTGTCCAGACGGCGTTCATAGCTCGATCCATCCCTCTCCTCCAAACGTGTTCTCGCCTGAATAGCTGACGTAGAGGAAATTGTCCTCGTCCCTGAATAACATTGAAATCAGATTCAGAACAAAAGCTGTGGGAGGCGGAACGGCGAACTTGTGCTCTTCATATATCGCACTCATGAGAGCGGCCGTCGGTGGAAGTACCTCATCGACGAAGATGAAGATAGCCTTCTCTGGTGCGAGCTTGATGCGCTTTCGGATGACGTACACGAACTGACCAACAGTCAAGTCCTGTAAATCGTCAACAGATGCCGATCAGACATTCATCGCGATGATTGCATAGCAAAAGAACGCATACTGAGGGCACCAGATACTTCTTCTTGTCAATAGTCGGGATATCCGTTCGGTCTGCCTTCTCGCAGATTACCTATAGAAAAGCCGCCACTTGTGTCAAACTACTGCAACTGACAATACAGGATGACAAGCACTGACGGGGATACGATCAGGGTACTTCTGTCTGATGCGCTCAGCTTCCTGCTTGCGCTTCTCTGCATATCGCCACCTGCATGAGCAGATGAACTGCGGCAAATTATGGGGCTTACCAAAGGGGTGCTCATCCTTGAATTTCGACCTCATTATCAACACAGTGAACGATTTGCGATGTGAGCAGTGTTGTGAAGTGAGCTACGGGCAGAAAGTTGGTAGGTGAAGTGTGTCGTGGTCAACGTTAAGGATGAAGTGCATGCAGTACGGAAGTGGCTTTGAAAGCCCCTTCGCAGCCGTGACATGTGACTGCAGCGTGACTCGCGCGTGTTGGACCACAAGACAAGTCTGAAAAAGGAAACTGACAACCTCGGCGAAGCGCCGAGAAAATGCTAGGTGCCCCCAGTACTGAGCACAGAGTAAATGCTGAGCGCTGAGCGCTGAGTTCTGGTACTGAGCCAGAAATAACTCCCAGTGGTAAGTAGCCAGGAAAGAGCGCCCAAGGAATATTAACAGTGTTAATAAGGTTTCACTACAGTACACGGCTTGAAACCCCCCCCCCAAAGTAAAGGGATGGGAATAGGAAGTACTTAGAACATTGGGTAAAATATTAAATATACCAAAAGGGCGAAAGCATGAACTACTGATCCATTACTTTCTTGCCCCATTTCCCATCGCCGCAGCCATTCCTATTGCCATCGCTCCCCCCATCTGAGAGCCTGGTCCATCAGAAGGTACAAACACTGCCTTGTTTCCGAACGCCTGGATCCGCGAAACCTCCACGCGCCTCATCTCCATCTCTCGCGCAAATTGGTCCACAACTTCAGCATCTGCTGTAGCCTTGATCCGGATGGCCTCCGCATCAGCCTCGGCAGTGAGGCGGATGGCTTCGGCCTGCGCGAGTGCCTCAATCTTCGTGCGCTCGGCTTCAGCTTTGGCAGCTGCAATGACGCTATATGCCTCAGAGTCAGCTTGGGTCTGTGTGGATGCCATTAGTTTGTCAGTAACGCACTTCACGGGCGAAACTCATTACATACGTTGCGGGCTTGCGCCTTGATGCGGGCGACTGCCAAAGCACCCTCCTCCTGCTTCACTTTATTGGAGTTTTCTCTATCGACATTCTGCAACAGGGTTAAGAATAGTGATGGGAGAAGCATTCGAGAGACTTACAGCCGCCTCCACTTGTGCCTCAAGTGCCCTCGTGGTAAGCTTATCCATGGTAGACGCAATCTCACCCTTGAATTGTCTGTCAATCACAGCTATTGATGATTTCGATTAACAGAGAGATTGTATGGGGTGCTCGAAACCTACCGAGATCCTTCAACACGATACCGTACTCTAACGCAGCCTCGTGCATCTCATCCATTGCACGAGTTCGTAGTGCATCAAGGAAAGCAGAGGATGGATCTGTTCCATCGTCGAGGTTATCTGGCCCAAGGGAACGTTGCTTAACCATTGAACTGTAATCAACTAATTTAAATGTGGTGGATGAGCCAAAGCACGAGAAAGATAAAGGTAGTCACTCACGGTGTGCAACAATTTGTGTCAGGATGGACTGGGTCTTATCACGAAGCGCGTCATATGGAGTGCTGTATCCGTGAGTAGTCAACTAAACACGACACTCAGCATTGGCACGTTAGGACCAAAAGTGCAGAGCTTACTTTGAGGGGTTCAACCAGCTGCCTGCAAGAAATGAGTATTTTCAGGAGCCACACACTGGGGGTGGGTACTCACCATTTGAGGTAGATACGCAGGCCCACAGGAACTTGGTCTCTTGTGAATCTGTATGACCAGAATTGAAAAACCGCACTGGAACTGCCTCGTCGCCCACTCACATGTCTTTCGTTGGCATCTCAAGTTGGTTTTCCCCGAGTGTATACAGTCCACGTAGGGTAACGTTAGGGTTGGTGATGTAGTGTTGTCCAGCAGGCAGTAACTCAAGGTCGTCTCCACGCTGAAGAATGGCACAGTTGTTTGCAGGGATGTTCAAACTATGCGAAAAGAAATCATGTTAGTGAAGGATATGCGGGTGGAAGAAGATGACAAACAAAAGCGCAACCACATATTCCTGATCGCGTCCTGCGCCAACTCGGCTTCGCATCTTGACTTCGTATGTCCTATGCAACAGTTAGATCATACACAGACTCCTAAACAGACGCCAGTCACCATCCGAGAACAGCACCTGTCACGGTATCCTTAATGGATGTGGACAAGTGTGTCTGGTCAACGATCGCGAGTACGTCGTATGTTCCTTCGACTGCGTAGGCGACAAAACCCGAGTTTTTGATGACAAAAATGTGGTTCTACCAATTCAAGCAATCACGATGTAGTCCACGAAATCAAAGAGTTGGGAGGCCGAAACTGACCTGCGGATCGGACACCACCGCTGCCTACAAAAAAAATTGGTTCACAAAGGAGTCAACTTTCGAAATGATGCGGCTCACTTGATTCTGGGAAACTTGTACAACAGTCAAACCTTTAAATTCGATGGCGGTATCCGAGACTGCAACGACGACGATCAGTAGGATGCTGCGAACAAACGAGCTGGGCTGTGACGCACGTCCTTGGGTGCCGCACCAACTGCGCGCCCACCAGTTGCGGAGAGGGAAGCCTGGATAGCGGCCAGGGCGCGTCAAGATCTTTGGCAGACCTCCGTGGTTAATCAGGCCAATGTTCCCAGGAGGGACCTCCCGACCGATCCACGACACTGGCGACTGAGCAGCGTAAAATGTTCAGATGTAAACAAGACCTTCGGTATAAAGGCCAACTACCTTCTTGGACAACAGATTGTTCCTTCCAGTCTATGAAACGACGCATGGGTCAGTAGGTCGTCGGAGTCCATGATGTAACCTCACTCTCACTCACCTGTTGAAGCTGCTTGTCGAGCTTTTGTAAAGCAGCAGTCACGCCGTCTTTGCTGATAGGTACAAAGAACGGTCTATCCTCCACATGGTCTGTTTTAGAAAAATCGTGAGCAACGGTCTTGCCTTTGGACGTCACGGTCCCGCTGCCAACGAATGGGTCTCCGGCCCGCTTGATTGGGAAGTCGTCACTACGTTCCTTGAGCCAGTCTTTGCGATTGGCAACGGGTCCGGCAACGACTGTCGCGCCGTCTGCAATACTAAGGCTATCCATGTCGATTGGAGGTATGTGACCGAGTGTGTGCGTGCGTTAGAGGTTCAACTTAGCGTTGCCTCGAGTTTAAATACTATGAAAGGAAGCTTCACATGCGTGCTGTGTCTAAGCATAGTGTGTCGGTACTGTTTAGGAGAAAACACTGGCTGAGCACCCTGAGTTCCGAAATACATGCAGCTGTTAGTTTTGAGTGACGTGCACAGCCGTCTTGTAGTCAACGGAAAGAATTTACCCTTGATATGTCGCTCTCAGGCGTCAACGTGTCAAGCTTCAAGGTCTAGTGAGGCCGATGGAGTACCATAATTAGTATTTGCTCGTCAGAATTACAGAGCCCAAAGTGCCTGAGACCGCAGCACGACACAGAGAGTCCGCATCAGAACATGGTTAGGAACATACAGCATTTCGCGGGCGGTGCAGGCACTGCAGGGTGACGCCTGGTGACGCCTACACAAAAGAGTTAGACAGGAAAACTAAAGTGCGAAACGCAACCACAGCAAATAACACGCTGCCAAAAAAAGAAAAGGAGAACGCACTGCGGCATAGGTGACTTCTGTAACTTATCGCCGCATAAAGTGGTCGGCGAGCAAATCATACGGTGTAGAAGAGCTGTGCAATGGTCCTTCAATTAGAATTTTCCAACCCTGCACAGAGATCAGGACTGTCCCTTGTTGAGAAAAATCTGGCGGAAAGAGTGCAGGAAGCCGGACACGATCACCTAACATATGCCAGACGACGAGAATAAGTAGGCGGTATTTAGTCTGGTAACCAAACCGGCATGAGACGATGCACTCAACTTCGGGAGCTCTCGGACTCGGAGTGCTGAGCGCTGTGGGGCT